TATGCTAATGAGATCCCCTAGCTCTTTTCTACGAAACGACCCCTGCTGGCTAGTATTTGGATGGGAGACCATGAAGGAATACCAGGGTTATGAGACAGAGGCAGACAATGGCAAACCACCTATAAATGTCTTTTGCCTTGAAAACCCCACCGGGGTCACCACAAACCAGCTGTGACTTGATAGCAATTTCCATCACCACCATCTAGTAATTCAAATATATTTAATGAGAATTCTGAAGATTCTGCCCAAACATGTTTGGAATGTTTTTGTCCAGCTATAGCACACTGTATCTCTTGTCAATTATATATTGTTAATTATTCAAATAGCAACTTTCTTGTGTGAAGCAGTGGTCTTCCACCCATGTATTAGAGTTCCAAGGTGGGTCTCAGAGCCTTAACTGCTGGGTTATGAGCCCTTGTAGAGCTGTCATTTTTATTTCATTTATTTTGCTCAGGGGTCATTTCGTAGAAAAACAGCTAGGGGAACTCATTAGCGTAACTCATTAGCATATGCCACACCCCCTGACATCACTGGAAGTGTGTCATAAGGCCACACCCCCTGACATCACCGGAAGTGTGTCATAAGGCCACACACCCCACCCCCAACGGTCCCGGCCACCGGCATTGCAGCTCCACTGCCGAGCCCCATGAGGGGCCTGGCGGTGGACCTGCAAGGCCGGCGGGAGTGCAAGGAAACCCCGCGAAGGCCCTCCCTGGCCCCAGGCAGGCAGGGGTGGAGAGAGGCAGGGAGGAAGCAACTTACCCTCCCTCTTCTCCTGCCTCCTCCTGGCTGAATGAGGGCCGGAAGCAGGGCGGCCGGAAGCAGGGGGCGGGGCTTCGTCATGTGCCCCACCCCCCGTACCTCACCTGGGGGAACTGCGTTCCCCCGCGTTCCCCCCCAAAATGACCTCTGATTTTGCTGCTGTTTTTGAAAGGACCTACTGCTAATGCACATGCACAAAGAGGAAGGGAACTACATCTCCTGCCTCTCTTTGCATACAAATTGAATGGAGAAGCAGAACTGCTAGGCCATTCAGCAATGGTGAGGATTGCCTCATTAAATCCTTGGTTTGTTCCACATTGTGGTAAATGCCTGGTGTTTCCTGTCCCCGGGTTCAATCCCTGGCATCTCTGCTTAACAATTTTCAAGGTACATGAAAGACCCTTCTCTGCTTGAGACCTCGAAGAGCTGCCTTCAGTCAGATTAGGCAGTACTGAGGAAGATGTATTGTATGACATCTGCATGTATTTAAGTTCCTGAACAAGTGACCATTTGATTTCCTTTTCCAGAGCTTCTGTGTGATTGCAGTTGCCTCTTGAAGATATGAAATGACCTGGTGTAAGCACTGCATGCAAGTGCCAGGTTAGCAACAGTCTCTGAAAATCATGCACCTGGTGTGCACATCTAGGTTCCATTCCCACTAAAATGAGCCATGTCCAAGTCCTATTGAGAGTAAAGGACCAAGTTAGTCATAAACATATCCTCCCATAGGTTTTAATGTGACTTAGTCAGGAGTAACAATAATGGAATTACAAATAAAAATATCTTAAGTGGAATTTGAGTCCTATAGCACAACTTCCTGATAACATGATGCAGATGATGCACCAATACACATCTGATTTAGAGAGAGAAGGCTTAGATCCATTCCCAAATCTCCAGCTGAGAATGACTTCTATACCATGGCCCTCTTGATGCAGCCCAAGATGCCCTTTCCAATGCTGCTTCTGGGGTTGAGCAGGGACTCATCTTAAGAATAGTATGAGAGGGGAGTTGGAGATCTGTCGTGAGGTGAGATAAAAGGTGAAAACTGGCCCCCAATCTTTGTGATTTTGGCATCATGCAAATCCAAGTGATTGTCATCCAGTCAGAAGCCATGGAACTCCACTGGATGGGAGGGGTGAGCCAGCCTCTGTTTAAGAAGGGTGAAGATTTTTTCTCTCTGTTGTGATAGAATTTATAATTTCAAGATATTCTCTTATATTAGTCATGTGTGGTAATTTGAAGACCTTCCCTGGGATCACATGTTCAAGTAGCCAGTTCAGCTAGTTCAGAGAGCTTGCATAAACTTGTTGGAGTTACTCCTTAGATTGAGAGGATGCCAGCCTCCAGGTGGGACCTGAGTAGGGTTTCCAGGTCTCCGGTGTGTGTGTGGGGTCCCAGTCCTTGCCCTGGAGCTCCTTGCGCGTGCTGTGATGACATCACCCAGAAGTGACATAATCACACAGGGCACATTCTGGGGGATGCTCTATCATTTAATGATCGACTGTCCTTAAGTGATCGACTGTCCCCACCCCGGAACATGCCCTGCGCAATGACATCACCTCCAGGTGACATCATTGAGCTGGGCGCACTGTGACAAACAGGGCACTCTGGGGGCAGGGTTTCCCCCACTGGCCGAACCCGGGCCGGTGGATCTGGGGGCCCAAAAGTGGGTACCCCCACCTGCGTCAGCAGAATGGCAGCCCTAGACCTGAGGATCCCCCGGAATCACAGCTCATCTCCAAAGAGCAGTTCTCCTGGAGAAAATGGATACTTTGGATGGTGGAATGTATGACATTGTACCCCACTGGAGTCTCTATCCTCCCCAGGCTCCATCCTCCAATCTCCAGGAGTTTCCCAACCTGAATTTGATAACCCTACTCCCTGTCCCCCGCTAATGGCCAGGGGGGACCTGGAAACCATACCACTCCTCATTCTTCTGGTCTCTATATTGGAACCCGGAAACATTACATCTCTGGATAAGAACATCTATTTAGCCAGGTTTTTATTTGGCTTTTAGTTAGGGTTTGGAGTTGGTTTAGGGAAGGAAGCTCATTTGAGTGAAATAAATAAGCATTCTGTTAAGGGCCTTACATTCCTACCTTACCTACACAGGTTTCGTGGGCAGCAGCTCTGTGTGTTAAATTAGTAACCTTGAACCTGTCATGGTAATAGGTTCCCATGAAACCTTATAAGCAGAGGATAACTTTTCTGAAGAAAGGGGGATCAAATCTCCCTGCAGGCTTTATTTACTTTACTTGAAGCTCAGCTACAAAGCAGTTACTCTGAACTGGGGAAAGTTTGTTACCTTTGGGGGTGAAGTTGAGAGTTGGTTTCACTTAATATATTGAAGCCATCCACACATAACATTTACTCTATTAAATACTTTATTTTCTGTTACATAAACCTTTGTTGTTCATCTCCATCTGTGTCTTGTCTGTCTAGTCAAATATCTAGGGAAATGTAGTTTCTATTTACCTCACAAATAATTACAGCTTTGTCTAGCAGGTTCCGAAATAAGAGATCTTTAGGGAGCACATGGGTTACACCCTACCAATCCTTTAATCAATGCTTATGTCCCCCTTTTTAATTGATTGTGGGTAATTGGGATTTAAAGAATCTACAGGAGAGATCCGAGTGGGGGATTGGACATTCTTCCATAGAGGCATTCTAGAGATGGAGTAAAATGCTGCCTATAAATTGATGGACGAAGCATAAAGCTTCCCCTTTTTAACAGAATAATATTTCTCAACCAAATGAGATAAAACCAATGCACAGTGCAATGCAGAGCTCCCTTTTCTAAAGCAAATTTGCCCCAGGCCCAGGATCTGAGAATCTGCTGCCATCGAATTATCCAGTTTCAGGTATAGATGGGAGGTGTATCATTTCCCCAAGATTGAAAGAAGACTGGTAAAGCAATAATTAACAGGGTCATTTCCTGCCTCTTTCTCATAAATGGGCACTATTATTGCATGCTGCCACTGTTCACGTGTTATCCCTGTACTACCAAGTATTGCCCCAGTACTGTAAACAAGGCATCAATTACAGTCAACTACTAACCATCAGCTTTTAGAAGGTCAGGGGGAACCAAATCTAGCCCAGATGCCTTACTAGCCTTTAGATGGTTAATTTAACACTGGATGCCACACATAAGTGTCAGACTTCACCAGAAAACCATCTATTAAAAATGAGTTGGGGGTCATGGAACATAGTTTCCAAGTGGATGCCAGATCCTATGTTGGCCTGGGCAGCTGAACTCCAGCGGGAAGTTGCCTCAGTCTTCACCCTCACCATAGCCAGCACCCAGTCAAACACACACACCCCACTTCTCTGTGCCATGCCATCAAGTTGCAGCCAACTTATGGGGTTTTCAAGGCAAGAGACGCTCAGTGGTGGTTTGCCATTGCCTGTCTCTGTGTAGTGACTCTGGACTTCCTTGGTGATCTCCCATCCAAGTTCTAACCATGGCCAACCTTCCTTAGCTTCTGAGATCTGGTGAAATTGGACAATCCTGGGCCATCCAGGTCAGGACCCCCATTTCTTAGGCTTACCCATATTTTACATTCCAGAGAGGTAGTCATGTAGTCCATTGCAAAAAAAAAGAAGAGAGAGAGAACAGACAACCCTTCCAAAGAAACAGGAGTCTTGGTGCACCTTCAATTTTTATTCCAACATAAGATTTTGTAGACTTTAGATCAGGGGTGGCCAAACTGCAGCTCAGGAGCCACATGCGGCTCTTTCACACAGTCCAATTTAATGTTTATAAAAAGCAAATTTGCATATTTTCCCATAAAAACATGTATATAATATGTGTTCATGTCTTGCAGCTCTCAAACATCTGACGTTTATTCTGTGTGGCTGTTATGTTAAGCAAGTTTGGCCATGCCTGCTTTAGATTTACCTTTAAAGTGCCACAAGATACCAATTTTTTAAAGCTGTTTGGGGATTCAGCTGAAGGGAATTTAGCTCTAAATAAACATGCATAAACTGTCTCTGAAGCTATTTCCTCATTGTTGAAGACAAAATGTGACATCTCAGCAGTTCTTTCCCATCTTTGATACCATGTTAAGGTTACATAGGAAGCTAAGATGTGTCTTATATAAATACACAAAGACAGTAATCTTTCTCCCTCTCTGCTTCATAGGCTTCTGTTGTATGTGTTTGGCATCCTGGGCACCCTCTGGTAAGCTGATAAGGAGATTTTCCAGAACAACATTTCTTTTCCTAATGCTGTCGTGACCATGGCTATTATGAAAGTCAAATTCACCAAAACAAAGAGAGATAAATTGGCTCAAATCCTGTGGATCTTCAACTGGATTTCGACGGTGTCTGGTATAATTCTGTTCAGCCTGGGACTGTTCCTGAAGATAGAAATCCGGAAGCGCAGTGAACTGATGGCCAAAGGAGACCTTGCCTCTGCCCCTAACATACTTATCTCCGTAGGGGTCATAGCATGTTTCATCAATTTCCTTGGAGGCAAAATCTCTTATGACTGCACAGACAATGATAAATTTAATCGATGGAAGTTAGTTATGTTCCCGTACATTTTATGCACTTTCTGTTTCACCTTCTGCATCTTGGGTGGGGCTGCTTTGTGTTACACTATGAGGAATGAGCTGGAGGAGTCTCTGTATCTGGGACTGAGAGATGCTATCAGGTTCTACAAAGACACAGACATCCCTGGACGGTGCTTTTTAAAGAATACTATAGACATGTTACAAATCAGATTCCAGTGCTGTGGAAACAATGGGTATAGGGATTGGTTTGAAATTCAGTGGGTGCCAGTACGCTATCTGGATATGACTTCCAAGGATGTTCTAGAGTAAGTATTAATGTAGACTGTTTTAATGGCACATAGTTCTCCCAAGCAATGAGTTTCTTTTGAGCAAATGGATCAAAAAAGGTAACCAGAAAAAACTCAATCATGTAACAGTAGAGGCTACAACACATAGTGAATACTGTATGGGGAATGTCTGTCATGATTCCATGGGACTAACATTTATCCTAGGGCAAGCTTTCATGAGTCAGAGCTCACTTCATCAGATACATGAAGTGAACATCCAGTAAGCTAATGAATTTATTTTAAAAGCATTCCCATTAGTAGAGGCTTACCTGACACCCTTGAAAACTTCATAAAGCAGGGTTTCTTACCATTTTCATGCTGCTTCTGTTAGTATGTCCACATTTGAGCAGCATAGTGACATTATCAACAATATTCCAAAATATTGTGGTATTCTGTGTGCTTCACAGACTCATTCCTCAAAATCACAATGTCTAAAGGGGCAATTTTTGATACATAATGCCATTGGAAAGCAGACTTACCTCCCTTCATACTTGTGCTGTAAAAGCAGAGAGACAAAACATGGACATTGGTGTCCTAAAGATTATATGCAAACCCATTCAGAGCTAGTCAGAAGTAAAGCAACCCTGAAAAGCTTTCCCCTCAAGTCACACATCTTTTGTTGTATCTCATTCAGGGAGGGCATTTTTACATTATAGCTGAAAAAAGCATTCAAAATTCATACAAAGGATTCTGATGCAGAAATACATGTGGCACTTTTAATACAGCAAACAGTATTAATCAAGTGAATATTCAAACCATTTGTAGTCCATTTCTATGCCAGACTGCAGAGCAATAGTTTCAGAGCACTAGTGTTGAAGTCAGCCTACTTAGGGCAAAAAATAGAAGAACAAGAAGAGAAGAGATTGGATTTGTATTCCATCCTTCACTTGGAGTCTCAGAGAGGCTTACAAACTCCTTTCCCTTCCCCTCCCCACAACAGGCACCCTGTGAGGTAGGTGGGGCTGAGGGAGCTCTTTTGAGAACTGCTCTTTCAAAGACAACTCTGACAGAACTATGGCTTGCCCAAGGTCATCCAGTAGCTGCAAGTGGAGGAGTGGGGAATCAAACCCGGTTCTCCCAGATTAGAGTTCGTACACTTAACCACTACACCAAACCACTACACCAAAGAGATGTTACATCTGACACAAATCAGGTCATGGTTCCCAACCAAACTCTCAGACAAATATTCACACATGAACTAACTTTCAAAACCCACGCCATCACTCTGCACTGTTCCAAACCCTGCAAGAGGAATGGAGGGGCTTCAGGCTTTCTTCCTGCTCCATTTTTGCCAGCAGAAACAGGCATGGCAGTGCCTGTTTGCCTGTATGTGTCCTTTCCAGGGCGAACAGGAAAGGTTATGCAGAACCTGCAACTATTCTGCTGGCAAAAATGGTGCAAGAGAGTAGTCTGAACACTCCTCTCCTGCAGTGTGTGGAGCTGTGCAGAGTAAAGCAGAGGTTTTTAAAGGTTAGTCCCCACATGAATGTGTGACTGGGTATCATCTCAAGCACCTGTAACCTGACTTGTATCAGATGTAATCTATTTTGTCCCTGAGCAGGAACAGAACCCCTGGAGCACAGCACTGCTGTTTTCCAACCTTCAAAGCAACCCACAGTCAATTGTAGCAAAATCTGTGAAGAGATGTAGAACAGAGCTGCAATCTCCCTATCTGTATCCCAATGGCACAGGTAATCTACCAGGGTGTAACCAAGGCAATTTGAGGCTGAAAGACAGAATGAACTGAGCCTCCTCATTCAAGAATATTAGGAGCTCAGTTGCCATCACTTTGTCCTATCATTAGGTTTTCAGGAGGGCTTCTTTAGGAGCACTTGTACAGTTACTTTGTTCAAGGCAACAGAAATGTGTTTGAACAAGGAAGTCACTGTCTTACAGAACCAACCAGATACTTCCTCCAGTATGATGTTATTGAGGTTAACTGATGTGGTTAGTCCAGTCATCATTAGTTAGCAGAGTGTTTAAATAAAGCTACAAATGCAGGAGTGTCACTTTACCAGGTTACTCAGCTTACAAAGCTACACAGAGCCACATTGCAAGTTTAGAAAAGAAAGCTCTCTTTATTTGAGAAGTACATTTTGGATAGGAAAGAACAGAGATTGATAGATTACTTACTTACTAGTTAAACAATGGAAGCGGATGGCGAGAGGCCCATCTGCCTCATGGTGCCAAGAGAGGACCGCATGTCCCTCTCTTGGTGCGTGCAGGTAGAGAGCAAGTCTTCATTCAGAGTGAGAGAGAAGCAGGAAAGGGAAATTGGTCCCTGGTATTACAGTCTGCATATCAAAGAAGACAGTGGCAGAACAGTAGATACAGGAATAAAGGTCAGTTTGCCTGTCTAGCTATATGAGCATAAGAACATAAGAGAAGCCAATGTTGGATCAGGCCCAGGAGTCATTTCCTGCAGGAACGTACAGGAGCGGAGCTCCAGCAGTAAGGAGCTTAGGGGGCAGGCACATGCAACAAGCCCCACCCCCTGCTCCCAGCAGCCCTCAGTCAGGCCACGAGGAGCAAGAAGCAGCCAGGTAAGTTGCAGAGTCCCCCCCCCCGGCCCGCCTTCAGGTACAGGGAACATCACATCTGGAACTTCCAACAGTTGTCATTAACTAAGACGGAAAATGGTCAATCCTACAGTGGCCAAAAATACTATGTTCCATCAAGAGGTCCACCAGTGGGGCCAGGATACTAAAAGCTCTCCAACTGTTGCCCCCCCCCAAGCACTATCTAGTCTCTCTTGCCACTCAGTCTTGGAGGTCTGAGACAGGGAACATCACATCTGGAACTTCCAACAGTTGTCATTAACTAAGACGGGAAATGGTCAATCCTACAGGTGTCCAGCAACATCTTTCCATGCACCTTGACAGCATTCAGGACACAACTGAAAGTGATCCAAAGAAAAAGGACAGAAAGGTGGTAAAGAAACATCCTGTCAGGCATATTTTCCTAGGTGGAAATATCTTTTTTTCATGTGGTCAGTCCCTAGTAGTGCTGTCCAGGTTTGGAAAGTGGTTGACAATGCACTGTGAGGTTTTTATTTTTCTGTACAATATTGGTTTAAAGCCCCTGGCTCTATTACTTGAACCTGATTTCTTTCTATCCCAGGGTCTAGTTCAACAGTCGGAGCATTTTAAAGCAACCCCTATATATGTACATAGTACTATTTAAAGATCTACTTTTTTATTCAGATGGTGAAGTGAAATTTGGGCTTTTCATATATGTAGTCAGCCTAATTATGTGTTGTTCATAGTAGAGTTGTATCTCATGAATGCCTTCATATTTGTAAAGTTGGCTTTAAAATTTCTGCCATAAACTGGAATCTAGGGAAATCTTTATTTCCTATCCACCCTCCTCACCTTGGGTCTAGTCCTTTTCAGAAATCTAAGTGCACAGCATGAATGGTTAGATGACATATATGGGATTGTGGTAAGCTTTGCCCAATTGTAGGGTTGCCAACCCAGTGGGAGGCTTGGAGGGGATGCAAATTGCCATCACTCCAACTGCACAATGTCACTTCTAGCATGAACCTGGAAGTGATGTCATCACACTGGAGTGACACTCTAGGATTCCACTAAAACTATGGATTTCACCCACATTAGTGGGGGGGCCTGCCAGCAGGAGGTCTCCTTCTGTAGCAGGAGACATGGCAGCCCTACTCAATCAATGCATATTCAGTCTGCTGGAAGAACAGACACTCTTGTGTGTAGGCTTGTCTGCATAATCATTTCCCCCAGTCATGTGTACAGCACCTACATGGGGTCTGTTCTCATAGTAAACTGCATGTGCACAGATGGCACTTTTTGGCATGGTCCTACTTCCCCCACATTTGTGCCTTCAAAAGACTGATTAAGGCAAAACAAGGACAGCATCAAGAGTATGTTTCTTCAGTTACCTTTCTTAAAAAAAACATATCCCTTCGGACAAATATTTTAATTTAAGCTTCTATGCTATGTTGAGATCAAAAATGCACAAAGTATGTATTGGGCTCTTATTGTTCACTATTGGAAATGATGCTTTTCACTCAAGTGACTGAATTCAAAAGGGGATAAGAGACAAATATACTATGGCTGTAGTTACGCATGCAAAATAATCCACTTTCAATCCACTTTCAATGCACTCTCCAACTGGATTTTGCCAGTTCACACAGTAAAATCCAGTTGGAAGGTGCAATGAAAGTGAATTAAAAGTGGATTATTTAGTGTGTGTGACTGCAGGCCTATGCATCTCTGAAAGAAAAAATCATCTGGGTTAGATTTTTTAAAATACAAAGAACATAAAATTTTATTTTTCAGACTAAGTAAATCTTTTCCTTCCCATAAAAACATTCCACTCCAAGAAGCAATGTGTTCTTATACTTAATCCACCCAGAAAAGGAGTTAGCGCCTGAGCCCAGTTACTTTAACCATCTTTATAATGCTCATCTTCCTCCATTTTGTTGCAGTCGCCTAAACAGTAACATTGATGGGAAGTACTTGGTGGATGGGGTGCCCTTCAGCTGCTGTAATGTGAACTCCCCTCGGCCTTGTATCCAATATCAACTCACCAACAACAGCGCTCACTACAACTACGATTTTCTGAAAGAAGACCTCAATATTTGGATGAAAGGCTGCAGGGAAGCCCTACTGGAGTATTACACTGGCATCATGAAATCCATTGCTGTCTCTGTTTTCCTCATCTGGCTGTTTGAGGTAAAAATAGTGAGATTTTCAGTTTATTGAAAGAACAGAGATGCAGATTTTGCATGTAGGCATGTCTGCATTTTTAAGTGATCTGCAAGAAGGCAATTATCTGGAAGAAAGTCAGTTTAACTATTAAGGATGTCTGCAGTTACCCAGAATCTTGGCAGATGCACACCAGTATCAATGTGCACAGGCAGGTTTGTCCAGATCAAAATGAATTTTTAAAAAGCAAAATAAAACCTCAGCAGAGAATATGAATAGAATAACATGCAGTATGTATCCTATAAATATAAAAGCCGACCTTACTGGCACTTTCTGGCTCTCCCATCGGCTGTGCTGTGCATTCCATCAGCCATTGGCCCATCAATTGCCACTCAAGAGTTCTCATGTGCCATTGGCTGGGGGCTGGGTTATCTCCCCCATCCACTGCCGCCTTGGCCACTCTTGCCTCTGTCAGAATAAACTGCCAAAACGGCTGTCCCTCCTGACAAAGACACTTCTCCTGCTTGACTCCTCTGTGGCTGGCTGGCTACTGAGGTGGGCCAGTGGCCATCAAACCATTCTCTTCTCCTGCTGTGTGGCTCACTTTCCCCTATGGTTGCCAACCTCCAGGTACCTGGATATCTCCTACTGTTACAATTGATCTCCCGATGACTGAGATCAGTTCCCCTGGAGAAAATGGCTGCTTTGGAGGGTAGACCCTATGAAATTATATCCTGCTGAGTCCTTCCCCTTCCCAAACCCTGCCCTCCACAGGATCCACCCCCCCAAATCTCCTGGTATTTCTGTACTTAGAGCTGGCAACCTACTTTCCCCTCAGTGCCTGCTGCTGGTCAACCAAGCTTGGTTTCTGTCAGTAAAAGGCCCTTTCCACACCTATTCAGGCCTTGGGAGAAAACTCATTGTGTCCTTCTGCCCTGCTGACAGGCCCCTCCCCCCATGACAGCCAAGGCTTCAGAGCACAGTAGAGGCTGCAGGTGTGTGGAGGGGAGATGGAAAACTGAACAGTGAGGGGGAAATGAAGGTAGTTTGATGCTTGGCTGGGGAGGAGATGGGGTTGCCAACTCCAGGTAGAGGCTGCCTACTTTCCCCTCAGTGCCTGCTGCTAGGCAACCAAGCTTGGTTCTGTCAGTAAAAAGACAGGGGGAGGAGGCCCTTTCCAGGCCTACTTTGGCCTTTGTGGGGAACTCATTGGGACCAGTCCTGACTAGGGTTGCCAGCTCCAGGTTGGGAAATTCCTGAAGATTTTGTGGTGGAGTCTATGGAAGACAGAGTTTGGGGAGGGGAGAAGCCTCAGCTGAACAGAATGCCATAGAGTCCACCCTCCAAATCAGTTATTTTCTCCAGGGGGAGAGAGACATCTGTTGTCTAGCATTCAGTTGTGATACCAGGTGATACCACAGCCAGTATGGCGTAGCCATTAACGCTTCAGAACAGGGTCTGCTAGACCCAGGTTCTTGCTGTGGAAGCTGAGTGGGTGATTTTGGACCAGACAGTCTTTCAGCCTAATCTACTTCACGGCATTGTTGTGCAGATCAAAAGGGGGAGAGGAGAATGATGTGAGCTGCTTTGGTCTCCACTGTGGAGAAAGACTGTACTTTTCGTAGGTAGAGGCTACAGGTTGGGAGAGGAGATGGAAAGCTGAAGTCAGAGGGGCAGATAAAGGTTTTTTTGTTTTGTTTTTTTATTGTTTACATTTATATCCCGCCTTTCCAGATATCTGGCTCAAGGCGGCTAACAACATTAAAAAAATTAATAAATACCATACCAATTAAAACAACAGCAGTTGCAATTAACCCAACAGAAATGGCGGTCTATGGAACAGCGATGGCGGATGCTCTTCCCACAATGGGGAAGGGCGGTTCGCACACCGGCGGTCTGGAGGGGTGCCACCTCAAGTGACACCCTCACGGAGCCTTTGTGATAGGCTCCAGGGCAAGGGGCTTTTGAGGGGGAGCTCCCCTCCGCCCTGATGGCCCAGTCGCTGAGTGGCCTTCGGGTATAAGCTGGACTTACCGGGACAAGCGCCGGAGATCGAGTGGAATGGCATAAAACTGAGCGTGGTCAAAGAAACTGACCGACAATGAATGTGAGTTCTGAATAAAATGGAGTAGTTTGAAAAGCAATTGGATGCTTCATATTCAAGGTGGACAGGCAGTGCAAGTGATTTCCTTACTGTTTTCATGCTTCTTATTCATGTACAAAGCAAAGGCTTTCTGACGTAAGGAATGAGAATGTATTTCATGGTAGCATCTTTCCCCTACCAGAGTTGCCTGATGGTAGCCTAGAGAATATGCCTGTACCTTTCAACCATCTGGCCAAATGGGGGTCAAGATAACAGCAACCTTTGCCTGGCTTTTGCTGTAGTCAAACCTTTTCTCTGCCCTCAAACACCCTCATCCAGGCCCGTAGCGACAGTGGGGCATTTTGGGGCCTGCCCCCCCCCAACTTCCAACCAGCCCTCAGCCACCCCACCCCGGCTCTATGGGCCACCTGGAGGACTACCAACTCTCTGAGCCACCCAGAGGACTCCCCAGTGCCTCCCCTTCCCCAAGCATGGCTTGCTGCCCCGCGTAGGCAGGCAGAGTGCAAACGCTGGAAAAGCGAGTTTAAAAAAAAATATTTTATTTTATCTTGTGACATCAGTGCCCCCTGACTTATTTAAAGCCCCCCCCTGAACTATGAAATCCTGGCTATGGGCCTGCCCCCATCCCATTCCAGCATGCAGCATGATAAATGTGCCTGGGTCACTACTGAAGAAGGGGAGGAAGGCAGATTTAAAAGACCAGGGTGAGGAGCAGCCAGGAGAAGCCATCACTTCCTCACCCAACCTCCCTTCAGTGGAGTTTTAAGGTGCATGCATATTCCACATGACCTGGTGATTTTGGTCATCACCACAGATGTTTAGAGAAGCATGAAAACTGTTTCTTATACATTCTGTTCCTCTGCAAGATGTAATGTCTGAATCCCCTGAGTCTTTAAAATGTGTAAGTTTAGGCCTGCTGCTTTTAAAATCAAGCTGCAAGTCCTTGCAGAGAAATTTAAACATCAGACAAAGAACATCAGCTGAGCAAAGGTTTCCACAATATATTAGAAGATAAATTATTGAAAGTAAGAAGAAGCTTCTTAACAAACAGTTTTAAACATGTTTTTAGTTGGAGGGAGACCTATGACAGACTGGCATGCATGATGCAATCAGTGTTCCCTCTAAGCTGAGTTAGTGTGACCTAGCTCATAGTTTTTTAGCCTCTGGCTCACAGATTTTTGTCTTAGCTCAGTAAGGATGGCTCCAGAGCAAACTAGTTGATGCAGTAGCCAAATCGCTCGCTCACAACTTTAATTCCAGTAGCTCACAAGCTAGAATTTCTGCTCACAACACTCCACAGCTTAGAGGCAGCATTGGATGCAATGCTGACATGTTCATTATGTGAACAAATTGGAAAATTTTAATGTATAGCAATATGTCAAAGGTTTCTACTCAGAACAGTATAATGGAATAAGTGTTAACTTTTCTGCTGAATTAAAGTGCTCTCTCTTGCTTTCTCTTTGGACAGCCATTTGCATCAATTATTGCAGACACTTCAGGAGGAAATAAAATAGTCAAGCAAATTGTTCTGTGTAAAAGGGAGACATAGGTCCCTGCCACACGGCAGCAAAAAAACTGGGCAAAGTGCGGCTTTTAAAAGCCGCACCAAAATAGAGATGCTGCGGCGGGATCCCACGAATCCCCTGAGCTGGGGCGCCATTGCTCCCCGGCACGATCAGATGCCGGGGAGGAAGCGACAGTCGGGAGGGGGAGGCTGCCGAACTGCGCATGTCTGTGGCCAGGAGCCAGGGATGAGCCGGCGGAGGG